CAAATGTGAAAATGTTGGAAAATTTCATACTTGGGAAAAAGCCCCAAGACAATACTCTTTGTTTCCTAGAACAATCACTGCATGTTAGAATTTAGGAAGGTAAGATTGTTTTTAGAGAATTCCAGTTTCAAGAAGGATGATAATTGGTAGCATTACATACACAATATGTAATGTTACACAGATAAACCTGATACCTGTCATTAATAAAAAATATCTCTTGAGAACTTTATGTAGGTTTGGCCATTACTGATATTTTTATTCTTACAATACAGAAATCTGTTAATTTAACATTGTAAATATTATTAGTTTAGGATAATGTGATAGGAGCATAATTGTGTGTCAAATACTTGGCAAATGGAAAGCAGAATTATTTTTACAATTTTAAGAAATAGGAAGCAAGCTCCTGGAAAGCTTTATGCTGGATTCACTGTGTTTAATAAAATCTGAAGAATGAAACAAAGTAAACATATGCTGCTTACATTTTTAGTTGACTGTGAATGAGGCAGCATTACAAGTGCGTTGAAGGATACCATGGAAATACAAAATAATCTGGAGGTAATGGACAGTTCTAAATGGGTCTTAAATTTAGATAAACATTACATAATGCATTCCAGGCACATGGCATTATATATAAGCATTGTTGCTGCAGAAGGAGAGATAATATTGTTTAAGCTCTTCAAACCTCAGCACTCCTCGTTCAAGTTATTTTTCATACATGAATAGACAGAAATCTGACCATAGTATTGCTGAAAGAAGGAGCTGCTTGTAAGAAGCCTCTGACTCTGTGTTTATGATTTTTGAGTGTAGTTAATATGATGTATTCCTATTTACCTACACAGTGAAACACCGAAAAAAAAGACATCAGTGGTTGTCCCAGTCTACCCAACATACCAGTTGTCCCACAGTCTAGAAAACTTAGACTGCTCTAAAAATCAGACCCTGGTATGCAGTGTCTCAGGTTTTCAGTCAGGCATTGGTGCCCCAGCCCTCACTCACTGATCACAGAGACTGGTGCTATCTGGTACCGACCAGGTATCAGATATATTGGTATCTACCGGGTATCTACAGGGACTCCACATGCTGCCATGAGATACCAGGACTCCCCATGAGCTATAGCTACAAATTCCTTTTTAATGTAAGTACAGTTTGATTCCTGCCATAGATACAACTTAATTTGAAGCCCCTGTCTCTGTTAAATTTACCATCTCTGTGCATTCATTAGTGAAGTGGTAGATTGTCCCTCTAAATATGAATTTATTTTGGTAAATACTTTAGTTTTGTATTCATTTGAAAGCTTTCAAGCATGCGTTTGTCACATCGTGTTGAATATTAATGATAGTCCTGATTCTTTCCAGGAGAAATACAAATATACCCACACAGTAATTCAAAAGTTACTAGTGTGTATTAGGTGTTACTAGTGTGTATTAGGTATTAGAGTTGCTGAGAAATAATTTTTTACAAAGAGCCACCTATTCACTCTAAAGAAAAAAATTGTTAAAGGTCCTTTGCTATGAATTAGAATGCAGCATTGCAAAGCAGGATACTTGTCTTTCTGTACTGTTTTGCAGTTTGTGAATTGCTGCCTTCTTTCCTGCATAATTTCTATTTTGCTGCTGAAACATGAGATCAATCCTTCCTGGAAAAAAAACCTACCGCAGTCTTTTTCTTGGCTGGAGATAGGAAAGGAGACCTGTTTTTTTCTGAGTTTTGCTTTCAAGAGTTCTCATAAAGATCTCTTGTCATAGCAAAGGACATAGAGTTCCCTGGAGGAAAAAAAAACAGCACTCAAGTAGATGGTGGTCATTCAGTTATGGGTCATTTTGATGTGATATATCATAGACTTAAATTTCTATGAAAAATTGCTGATAGCAAACAAAACTTATTATCCCTAAAATGAAAGGTAAAGGAACTTTTCCAAAACTGTAGGAAGCCTAAATTGAGCAAATGGATTCTATTTCTGCTTGGATAGTTCTCCTTTACAAATGTTGTCTTTCAAAACTAAAATATTTCTCCATAGTTTCTGATAATACTAGTCTGACAGTGTGTGGGTCAGTTCAAGGCAGGATAAAACAAGTACAGACAAAATGTGGTATCAAGCAGCAGTAACTGTAAGCAAGTCATCTGGAAAACATACAGGCAGATCAAATGTGGAAGACAGAATGAAAAAAATTTAAAAAAAAACCTGGGAAATAAGTAGCAGAAAAATTATTTGAGTCTGACACTTAGAGTTAAGCGTGCAAGAAGTTAAATTTTATCTAAGTATGCAGTTGCAAATGGAGATGATAAAACACACGTCGTTGCTGAAGTTAGCCAGAGAAGCAGCCAAATGCCAAGGTGATAAATAGCAAACAATTGCAGGGGTGAAGAGCCTGTGTTCAGGGCAGGCACAGAGCTGCTCCTCTGTGCAGGAGGATCGGCTCTGCCACCTTCCCGTTGCTTGTCACTTTTGTCCCCGCTCGTCAGCGGCGAGGAGGCTGTCAGGGAAGTGTCTCAGCACAGACATGTGCGCGCTCTCCGGTCTGGCTGGGGAAGGCCTGCTCAGGAGCACAGCCGTGTCCTTGTGCCTTGCCCCGCAGTGCTGCTCCCAGCCCTGAGCCCTGCTCCGGGTGTTCCTGCTGGGACACGCCTTGGCACTGCTCGCTCCTGTTCGGCTCTGCTGGAGCTCCTCACTGCCAGTACAAAAGGGGCAGAATAGCAGGAAGTGTGAGCTGAAAAAAGAGGTGTGAGATAAGGCAGCCAAGGAAAGCTGTGCTCATTTACCTTCTGTTCTTTTGGCTTCCTCTTGTTGTGACCTGCTCTGCCCAGCTTCATGTGACAAAGTTACGCTGGCTTCTTGCTCATGTCACCACTTAATTCCTTAACTAATTGATACTGCACTTTTCAATAGAATATCTGTTTTGCTTCTTGTATATAATAATATAGAAAATTCATAGGCATCAATAAATAAATGTATTATCCATTCAGTATGTTTTATTGGTGCTGATTGTTTGGTATATTAGCTTTTAAAATGTCTGTCTTAGCAGTACCAATAGTATTAGACTATTTTTTTATGGGAGTAGTCTGGTTGTTCTTTCATCACAAAAAAATGACCAGTGTCTAGTTTATCTATGAGCAGACTACATTATTGTCTCACAAAACAATGTCCCAGTGCTAGGACTGCTTCATTAGGTTTATGCTACATAGACATAATTATGCAGGAGCTAAGAATAGCTCATCTAATTGAAAATAATGATTCTAGAGAAAGAACGTGTTTGATTACTGTTACTAAGCAGGCACATACCATGCCCCCATTCATGAACTGCACAGAGCACATATGGGATTACACAGTGTATTTGTTTTTATTAACAGTTTCTTTCCCCCTGCCTGAGTACAAAGCAAAGGTGTTACAATTCATTTGCTCATTATCTTTTTTTCTCACAGACCTAGGGGGATCTTCAAGAAGGCAGCTTAAGCTAATATTTATCCAGTAAATTATTACAAGCTAAGCTTTGAAAGAACATTCAACATTTATCCCCACACACATTTTAGGGAGGATGTAACTTAAATAAATCTTCTCTGGGCACCACAGATGAAACTGTCTATGTGGTTTTTTTATGTCTGTGTTTTTACTAGTACCCTATGGGATTAAACATCCTTTTGGAAATGCAAAGTCTGCCATACTGTTAATCTCTCGATGCTCATTCTGGGTAATGCTAACATTTAATTCTTCTTTTATCTAAAACACATAGAACCCTTCATTATGTCTTGAAAATAAAAATGAATTTTTACAGTGAAGTTGTTAGAAATTTTCATTTATTTAATTACTACTCATTGCTATTACCAGGCACATGGGATAAAATGTGATGCTATTGTTGTCCTGTTACCTAATTCTTTTCTTATTTCTGTGTCAGTTTTCTATTCGAATGTTATGAGAAAAGTCATGAGATCACAAAATTTAATGTATTTGGTTTAAAAATGTTATTGATATCTTTAGAGTCTCAAAATATTCTGCTGGTTTGCCACGTTTAGCTTCCCCTCTGTTCTAACCAGCCATTTCATAGCTCTAGGTTACGTGCTAATGCTGTAGAGGCACAGAGAGATCACTACCATCAAGAATTTTTAAACAGATGACTGTTTGGAAAATAAAGTGGAGAGGGAAGATGGGACATGCCGTGATGCAAACCTGCAGCAACAGAACTATCAGTTTGCAATCTGGAACCAGAGGCCTTTGCAGAAGCTGTTCATGAGGGTTTTTGAGAAATAGCAAGAAGAAAAAAGTGGCAGCAGAGTGCAGATTACTTTACCAAAGTATTCCATACTTTTGTCTTGACTTCAGAAAAGTTGCCTTTTCAGATTGTTTTTGAATTTGAAATTCAGAGAGTTACAAGAAATTAGGACAGTTAAGTTCCTATTTCTACAAAAGCCTATTGAAGTGTTAAACACATTTTCCAGGCTGTGCCTTACCAACATGATCTGATTCTGGAAGACATTTCCTATATTTTGGGCTAATAATCTTGAATTTTTCCCTTCAGAAATTTCCACCTGGCAGCCAGCATTGACCCAGCATTAACTTTGAAATGTGGTAAAAGTAGTAGCCTTCCTCATTTCCTTTGAGCACCATGTGTCCTGAACTCCCAGAGTCCTATTTAGGAGTCAGTCTGGTGGCCAGTCTGACCTTCTGTGCACTTCTGTACACATTCTGGTAACATGTAAATAAACCCTAATCCTGTGTTTTTGCCAGACACTATTCTTTCCCTCACTTTAGGAATTTTAATTACAAGCTTGGGCTGTAAATTGTGTTCCTGCAAATAAATGTGATCCAATGTTGAACAGGACTGAAGAGCTGAGAGGAATAGTGATTTGATCCTGAAATACTTCACCGATTTGCAGTTCCTCACAACAGTTTGTCTAAGAGTGCCCTGTACAGGATAGTGTATGATGGCTGGGGTCCTTTGCTCTCTCATGCTTGATGCACCTGATGCAAGATGCTCTACACATAAACTCTTTTCTGCTTTGTACAGAACCGCACACGCAAGAGCTAAAGCTGATGCTGCGGATCAGGCTGCTCAGGCTGCTCGCCAGGAATGTGATATTGCAAGAGCGGTTGCCAGAGAACTTTCACCAAATTTCTACCAACCAGGTAATTGTAGATTGGGGTTTTATGGGGCTATTTGTTTTATTGCAGTAAAAAGATTCTGTTAAGTTAAAGTGTCAATTCCATCTTGAATGTTGTCTTTTATACAGAACTAAGTAATGTGTATGTCATGAGGAATGCACATTGTTCAAGGAGATTTTGTTATCAGTTTGTAATAATTTGGTGACTTTTTCTTTGTATGAAAACAGTTGAGTGTTGAAAAGTCAGTATCAAGCACATAACTTTGCCTCAGATTAATAGTTTATTCAGGATAGTATCAAAGACTTCAGCAATCATAAATCAACAGAAATTTGGATTAATTCTATAATGTGTTTATTAGTGGGAAAATCTATAGGTTTTTTACTGTCCAGTAGAATTCCTGACAGTCTTGGTTAGCTAAGGGCTAAATTTTGCAGAACATTTTACCATTAGACATACATATTCGCAAGAGAATCTTCCTCTGTTATGCCTGGGGTGCTCTGTAGAACATTAATTCTGTATTCACAATGGCATAGAATTAGGTCTGTCCCACCTACATCAGCATTGCAGCCTGTTTTCATCTCTCACGGGGTTTGAAAACTTGCTGCAGGAAGAAGCAAAGTTGATTTTGCATTGTTTTTCTGCTGTCTTTCCATGAGGTTCATATTTCTGTGTACTGCTCTTTAGCTTAAAATTGGATAGATAAAATGGAACTCCATTTGCCATTTTAATGTCTTTTCATGTCTGCCCTTTCTTTCACCTGTCAAATTGAGTTGAGTCATATCTTGTTATTACTTCTCAAGGATCTGCCTGTACTCGCATGCTAATAGAGATTATAGCTCTGAGATTCATTTTCACTTACTGTCATTTTCTGCTCATCCTTGTTTCAGACACAAACTTACTTAAATGCACCCATATAGTGAATGCAGGCTATAATGACCCAAAAATGCAAAGAACAACATTCTGCAACATTTTCTGATAACACACCTATTTACTTCAATTTTTAGTTCAGGTGGTCACTATGTATAGCTTGTTACTAAATCCTTACTGTCAGCTACCTTAGAGAATACTTGATTTCTTCTTTATTCCTAAGTATTTGGTTGTAGAGAGAGAATGTGTTTTGGGGTTGGGGGGATTGAGGACCTCTTTTTGTATTAATTTAGTGCCTAAGTCAAGGATTATTCACCTGATTGGAATTGTCATTTCCTTTACCAGTCTTGCAGACTTTCTTTGTACACATCCTGATATAAATTCATCTTTTGTGAACATGGCAGTCCAGAACTGTTGGCAAAACTCAACAGAACTATTTCCGGTATTAAGACTTTACTGGCTTTAAAACAGTATAAATATGTACTTTTCACTGTTGGGAATGACCTCAGTGCTACCTCTCCTGTGCATTTATATTATTGGCCCATATTTACTGCTATCATAGTCAAGTCTTTTTCATTTTTCATTATTTCATTATTTCATTCTCCACCAGCTGAAGAAATCCCAGTTTACAGCAGCAGACCATCTTGCCATTCGTAAGTTAAGAAGTTATAACCTTAGCCACACAAATAATTGAAGCATTTGGAAAGAAACTACTAAAAAGCTGGCAAACCCTTCAAATAAAGCAATTACTAGAGTACTTGAGTGAAAATGCCAACATCTGACAGCGTGAAATTTGACACCAAGAAATCACCCAGATCAAGAATGTGTCTTTTTACTCCCTGCCACAGGAATTGAAGTAGCATTGCTGACAGATCAGCTGAGATATGGGAGAGAAGGTGTGGGATCTTATTTTCCTCTCATTTGAAACTTTTATTCTATTTACACAAGAGGAGAGTGTGTATCTCTTCCTCAAGTGAAGCTGGATATGTGTGCAATGACACAGCCAAGCATTTCTCAAAGTTTACTTCCTCTGTTCTCTGTGTGGAAATATCTCTTGGTTAGCTAGCTCCTAGCAAAAGATAAATATGTTTTCTGGACTCCAAATTTTGAGTTCTCTAATTGTTCCCAAGATAGTTAAATACAGCATATTTCTATACATTTGAAAAAAAATCTCCTCCCATTATGCAAACAACTTTTAAATACCAAGGTGTTAACTAAATCTCAGTTATCCCAAATAAACTCCTGCAGGTTCACAAATCATTGTGATGATTTCAAGTACTGCCATGCCTGAGATGTTTTCCAGGCTCAGTGTATGGGATACCTTTCTCAGATGCACTTTTTCTGTGTGGTACCAGTTAAACCACTCACTTGTACACATGCTTGTTTGTTTAAGCATTTCCCAAGAGTCATGCCAAGAGTAACTGGACAGTGTTACTGTTAGCTTTTGTCATTTATGGTAATAAAATAGATAAATATTTCCAAGTATTTACATTCACTCACACAAACAGAAGTAAATACCTGCTTTTCAAATAGCATTTTTCATGTATTTGAATGAGAGGAAGGTAACTTATTGCTTCCTAGTAGCAACTTCTTGGTTTTCTTTTGCTGCTTGAGTTTTTTATTTTTACAGTATCTGTAAGTGCTGCTAAAAGGTATCAGTAAGTGTTCTGTCTCATTCTCTGAAACTATAGTTAAGTGAACCTTTCTATTGTACCAAATAGTCTTGAAAATAGGTTATGATAACAAAGTGTAATTTTTCTCTTATTTCTTTAACTGCTTAGTATGGCAGGCAAGCATGCTGTCAGCAGTAAATGTATGTAGCATATCAACAAGCCTCTTGAAACAGAGACAAAAAGAAGTGAAATACAAATACTTCTCTAAATAACAGAAGCATTCTTTTTTGTCTTAATGAGTGATCTCTTAATTACTTGTAGCCTAAAACCATTTCAATATTTGAAAACCTTTGATAAAGCTCTTAAATTTCAAGTTCTTAAAAAGCATCTTTCTGGGGCTTATAGCCTAGTATTAAGCACAAATAATAATTACAGTGAATTCATCATCCATTGTACCAAGGCAGTTCATACTTCCCAAATCCTTTCTCTCGTGTTTCACCTTTATGTTCATTAAGGCATTCATCAGAAGCTGCCAAGAGGCTCTACCTTTGTAGTGTAGTTTAAAAGGAGACTAAGAGGAGAACAAAGCAGTAGGAAGTAAAGTAGCACCCAGCAGGTAAGAATAATAATGAGGTACCATAGAAATCTCGAGATTCAGCTCTCCCAGTGATTGATTGCCTCAGTATTTGCATATAAGGAAAGCCAAGTATGATTGAAAAGGCCAGAGCCATAGTGTAAGGACTCACAAGGTTGCAGAGAGCTGTTTTCCCTGAGTTTGTTCATGCTGTTCTCAGGCAAGACCTGCTTCTGCTTTTGCTGTAGCAGATATTTGGTTAGTGATTAATAATTAGGGGGATATGTGTCTTTGCAGAGCCCTGCCCACAAGGCTCTACATTTTGTAGATTTAACAAATGTTGTACTCTTTTTAGAGACCATACTTTACTGGCCTTTTTATCAAGAAATAAATTCTGAGAAATCCCAGCTCTGCCCTGTTTATTTCCTCCAGGCATCACTAAACTTGTGGATGTGTCAAAAGAGAGCACACCAGGACAGGAAACAAATGAAACCTGAGTCATAGCCTCATTCAGGGGAGTCATCCAGGGACAGTTTGAGATTTGTCTTCACTTAGAGAAAAAATAAATGCTTTTTTGTGTCTCTTGTAGAACCTTGAGAAGAACAAATGACTGATGGGAATACTGTATCAAAGGTGTAACAGAAAAGAAAGGTTTTTGATACTCAGTGAAAAGGGGGAGTATTGTTCTAGTCTTGCACAAGGTTAGTGGATGCTTTGGCTGACACATTCATTCTAAATTCCCAGACTGTCTTTAGGATGTGGTCTTGTAAACACACTATCAGGAGGTAAACTGAAGTATGGACTTGCACAGATCAGACAGCTAAGCCATAATTGTCTGTGTGCATGTATACCCTGCAGCAAATGGATACTGCTCTTTCATTCAGTTTGAATGAATAACATTTGATTAAATGAAAGAAGGGTACAACTACTTTGCTGCAGGGTAAGAGCAGTCTGGGCACTTTACCACAGAGCAGTTAAGGTCTGGAAATTCAGATCTGAGTTGTTTGCTGGCAGATTATTTGTCAGGCCAGCCAGCTGCCAGATGAACATGCATGGATCACCAAAACAATTCATCCAGCCTTTGACCTCCTAAACAAGGCATGAGAGAAATCAAGGAGCAGTTTATAAATTAAAGCTGTCCAAGTTTAGAGATGGACAGAATTTCTTTAGGTGAAATATATGAGCAAAGACTTCTTAATGATAAGAGTAAGAATTTGGCAAGGTTTACTAGTATATTTTACTATAAGATTTGGCTACTATTAAAGCTTCAGTATTAACATGCTGAACATTACTAGTTTCAGAAATAAGCATTTTAAGTTTATTGCAAGGCAATTTGTAATGGCTACCAATGCCTTAAAGAGGAGCTGTGGTTTACATTCTCTTTTGACCAGTGGTAGATATCTGTAGTGTAAGGAAAAAAACCATCCTTCCCATCTTCCTCTTCTCTGCCATCACCACCTCCTCAAGTTCTCAAAACGCAAACTCCATATGGACAGGAAAGAGAGATTTCTGGCTGATGCTAATTAACTGGAATGTCCTGGCTAAATGCATGTGTGCCAGACCAGAGAGTTTTATTTTAAAAGCCAATTACAATGAGCATTTTGCCTGATTAAAGTTACCAGCCATGCCATCAGTTTGTGCCTTAAAGCATACGGAAGCTCTCTCATTATTCTTAGTCATGCAAGAGTCTGTTCATTTTCTGAATTTATTCTACATATGACTTCATCATCCTCACAGATCTGTTACTGGGTTTCTTGCTGTGCCATTTTTTCTCTACAATCTATTGCTTCTATCCTCTTTCTACAGAACTCTGGAGAAGGCAGAGCCTATAGATGTATCCTAATGCACTTCTGTTGCATCCAGAAATCAAAGAAAGAAGGTGCATTAAAGGAAAAAGTGCCAATTTCAAGCTTTGTTCTTCTTCTCCCCTTTCTTTTTATAAGTCATGTCATACCAGTCTTCACAGCATG